GGGAGGGCATGGGTAGCGGAGGACCAGTGCTCTCCCCGCTGGTGTCCGGTGAAGAGTCTGGGAGCCCTCTCGCCGATTCCCCCATCTGCCCCTCCTTATTCCTGGTGTTGCACTGAATTGCTTCCCCATCTGCTGAGCTGCCTCTCTGCCTGCTGGGCTCTTCTCCAGCATCATTAGAGAGCCTTCCCTCCACCTCTAGCTCTGATGTCAGTTCCCTGACAGTTACCCTTTGATAAATTATACTGTTCCTGATCAAAATTCATTCTACTAGTTTGTGTGGGAAATTCTTAGAATCAGCACCACCAATTGTGTCCCAAGGTGAAAGCAGGTGTCCCTCCTTATTCACCAAGATTATGAGATGACCCCTGGGTTTGTGGAAGAGAACATCCAAAATAAATTGGAGGATGGGAGTGAGAGATAAGAACACATGTCCTTGCTCCCTGATAACCCTGCCAGCCCTGGGAGTCATCCTTCTGGGGCAGAACTGCAGAGGTGGTAAGAGAAACCAACTGTTGTTGCTGGAGGCCATCTAAATAGAAAACTACAATATCAGTATTGCAGAGGTGAAAGGGTGGTGGGAGTGTGATGAGGGTGCCCTCAGTCAATGTTATTAAATTGCCTTTTGGATGGTTGGTGATTGAGTGAGAGATAGTGAAGTGACTGGGTGGATGCTGTGCATTTGTGGAGTGGAATGGGATGAGTGATACTAGATGAGAAGCAGGTATTTGATTATTAGTCGAGATGCAAGGCAGACTTAGAGCATAATGTGTAGAATTTTGTATGACTCTGCAGATAGTTCAATCTGTATTGAATATATATATCACTGTTTTATTGCAATGTACTATGGTTTTAGAAATTTTTGCTATGTGTCAGGACCATGGCCCCCCAGAACGCAGGAGAAGAGTTAGACTCAGAAATCAAACTAAATGAACGAGGGGCACTGGCGGAGGAAGAGGAGTGTGGGAGGAGTGCATCGCCCCTGGCAGCGCGATCCCGGTGTGTGCCATGGCTTCTGTCCCCCTGCCTGCGCTGGGCACCACACCTCCACAGGCAGTGAGCCATGCTCACAGGACACACACCATGCCCCTGTGGGTGGCACCCCCTGCCCCTGGGACATGTGCCAGCCCCACTACTGCCTGTTCTCTGCCCCCCCCCCGGCCGGTGCCAGAGCATGAAGCTCTGCCACTGACGAGAGGTAGACTCTGCAGATGAGAGCTGGCTGACAGTCTAAATAGGGCATTTTGACCCCCCGCCCTTCCTGGGAAAGATTCTGTTAGCTCTCAAGATGAAGAAGAGTTGGGAGGCAGCCAGAGCATTGTTTGGGAATCAGCAGATAAGCATAGGTCTGTGTCAAGTAGCAGTGGGGAGGGGGCTGGCCAGCCTCTCAGTCCCCATTCTAAGCATCTGGACAGGATCAGATAGCAACAGAAGAAAGGCTGGAGTTTGGCATCCTTCCTCCTGTGGGAGGGGCAAAATTTCAGACTGACCAACTATCGTAAATGTGAGCAGGCGAGAAACTGTGCTCTGGATGTGCCTTTTTGTAAATAAACATACAGAAAATTGCCAGAGAGTCATTACTCCTTATCAGGGTTTGATTGCCTGACAGGGATCATTATACTATGTTTAAATTTATGTTCAGTTTTATTGTAGTTTTCCAGTTTCATTTATATATGTAGCATTATCTTCTAAAGTGGCAGCTAGACTGGTGACTGGGGGCGGCCGCCGAGACCACATAACACCGGTCTTGAAAGACCTACATTGGCTCCCAGTATGTTTCCGAGCACAATTAAAAGTGTTGGTGTTGACCTTTAAAGCCCTAAACGGCCTCGGCCCAGTATATCTAAAGAAGCGTCTCCACCCCCATCATTCTGCCCGGACGCTGAGGTCCAGCGCCGAGGGCCTTCTGGCAGTTCCCTCATTGCGAGAAGCAAAGCTACAGGGAACCAGGCAGAGGGCCTTCTCTGTAGTGGCACCCGCCCTGTGGAACGCCCTTCCAGCAGATGTCAAAGCGATAAACAACTACCTGACATTCAGAAGACATCTTAAGGCAGCCCTGTTCAGGGAAGTTTTTAATGTGTGATATTTTGGTGTATTTTTGGTCTCTGTGGAAGCTGCCCAGAGTGGCTGGGGAAACCCAGCCAGATGGGCGGGGTACAAATAATAGATAATAATAATAATAATAAAGCACGTAGAGACTTTTAAAAGTATTAAGTGGTATGTAAATATATTAGATTATAAATATAAATGCCAAGGCTTTATTTAATTATCAATCGTTTAAGAAATTTTTATATTACCCTTAATCACAGGACAGTTTACAGCACAGTAACAAAGTAAACAACATATTATATTTACATAACATTATACACATAAATATAGCTCTCTGTAATAAGTAATGCATAATAACACAAGGTGCTTAATGGAAAATAATGCACAAACAGCAATGCACAAAAAGCAGCAATAGCACATTGACAACCCAGCAATAAACTCCACAACTTTCCCACTGCAAAATACTCCTGCTTGTCTACTCATCTCAGGTGCAACTGTGAAACCCAATAAATGTGTTAATTTATTGGTTGCTTTTGGCAGGGCCGAGTCGTGCCTGGAATCAACTGAAGTGCCCAAACTTTTGTGCTTCTGACTCAGGACTTTGCAATGGCTCAAACACCACCAAGTGTTATACTGATGAGACTCAGTGTATAGAGCTTGTTTTTGTTCACGGTGAGTAGCACTGCCAGTCAATGAGTAGGAGGGATGGAATGGCTTGCCTGGTTCATACTCTCTCACATTTCTCAGATGAAAACAGGGATGTTCTATTCTACATCAGGAATCTTCTCCCATGTTTGATCTCGCTGCACACAAATATGTCATTACAAATATACATCTATCACCTTAAGACTTTAACCGATTAGAACCTCTCAGTCTAACCTACCTCACAGGATAGTTGTAAAGATGTGCAAGGAAAAGGAGAATGTACACCTTCCACAGACAAATGGAATCAAATGAGATTTTAAATGTAAGCTGCCTTGAGCCCCTGTCAGAGAAAAAGTTGGATGATAATGATGATGATGATAGTAATAATAATAAATAATAATAGAAACTGTGAGAATGATCAGAAACATACCAGAGAGTAAATCCTATTGAACCAAGTGGGACTTACATTTGAGTAAAAATTCTTAGGGTTGCAGTGTAAGACTGCCCAATCTTTACCCATTTACGTGGGAGTAAGCTCCATTGAATACAGCGGGCCTTATTTCTTAATAGACAATGTAAGGCTCCATTTAAAATAAAGGAATAAACACCCATGCTTTTCCTAAAAAGTGGCTGGCTGTTGAAGAATCTAAAGTAGATTGGTGACATTTTCCTTCAAAATGATAGGAAGGGCTTTGAATGCCAACTTCACCATTTTCTTCATTTGGTGCAGGTATTATATATTCAGTATAAACAGGACTCCATTTCTGCACTTAGACCCACCCACCCACATAGAGAGAGCTCTTTTAATTATTGTCTGATATGCAGAGTGGAGGAAAAAGGAAAACTGGGGCATTCTGGGATCAAATCAGAAAGCGAGATAGCTTCTGTAATTCTGGGGCTGTCTGTGGCAGATTGGGACACTCAAAGGTTATGCAGGTTGGGTGTATGACGAAAGACAGAGGAGTGCTGGGCCAACCTCCTGTGTGTATACTGGAGGTTGGGAAGCTTCTCCCCTCCTGTGAAAATATTACTATGTCAAAATCCCCTTTGTGATCAATGTATATAGATGAAGCTATGGGTTTCTGGAGGTGGTGTATGAGAAGACAGAGATGAATGATATAATGGTTAAATTACGTGAAAACTGTTTTTAAAATAGTATTTTAACTAGCCTTCTGAAGAAATCTAAGCAGCCATGGAGCCCAGAACTGAATGCAAAATTTGTGAGCATTGGGGCCCCTTCCCATTAAAAAAAATGGATTTCTCCCCTAAATTTAACCTTCTGTGTCATATTCATTTCATGATGTGTTTCTGACATGCTTTCTATCCTTGCATGATACAGTTAAAATATCTCTTGAGAGTTCACACACAAATGCACACCCATTACCACCCAGGTGCTCATATGACCATGACTCTTTCTCTTTTCTAGATGACCGTTCAATTCCTGCTGATCTCATCAAAGGCTGTGCAACACCAGATTTTTGTGCATTGGCCATGAAATCAGGCCACAGTGATAAATTTTCAGGCACTTTAACACAAGCAAAATGCCATGATCATCTGCTTTCTCAGAGCAGCTCAACTTTGAAGGGCATTTAGGAGAGAACAATGTGTTCTTCCTTTTGGATCCCCCTATTTTCAGCATCAGTGGAGGTGGAGGTTGCTTGCCTGATGGTGGGAGTGCAGAGTGAATGGGATTCACAGGACTCTTGAGTCCTCTATTTAACATTTAGTGGATGGTGAATGGGATGCAGGGGATAGAGAAGCTAATCTAGAAATGTGGGACTTGGGGACTCTGGTTCATGATAATATGGTATGTGGGTTTTCCTTTGTTCATAATCAAAATAAATTGGTGTGGCAAATAAAAACTGTGTTCTGGGTTGATCTTTGTCAAATATAGAATATATTACATTCATAACCACCACCCCGCCCCCTCCCCCGCCCCCAAAATATATTGGAAGCTATCTGTGTAACTACAAACTTGATCCAAGTACACTCCAGGTCTTTCAAAAGAGTGCAGTATGCAATCCACAATTCATTCTTCAGATTCATTGGGATGTTCCAGCAAAGCAATCATTTTGTTCATCACTTCACTTTCAGGTGTAAAGCACTGCACTGCAAGGGGAAATATTTTTCTCTTTCCCTTGTTGGAGGCTTCAGTCTGAATAGAAAAAAATGGAGGTCTTTCAGATGTCAAGATTTTCACCACATCCTTCAAAGCCTTTTGCTAAGTTCTCTGGTTCTTTTCTCCCACAACAAATTTTCTTGGCAATATTTGAGTCAAACTCCTCCTCCCGGACCCACCCACCCTCTGTTCAAATACCACGATGAGTCTTGATCTCGCTTTACTCCACTTATGGACCAACTCTCTGTCTACAGAAGTTCCTTCTCAACTCTCTCTCTCTCTCTCTCTCTCTCTCTCTCCTGTTTAATTTTACTTATATTTTTCAATGTTACATTTTTCAAAACCACACTCACATTTCCCCATACATATATTTCTTTAAATAAGCCAATCATTTATGACTTCCCTTCTTAGCCTTCCCTGGTTCCTTTAATTTCCCCACCTATCCCTCTATGATGGACAGCAGAGCCAGACCAGAGTCTTGGTGATGTAGTTCCTCAGAAACTCCACCAAAGTGCTGGAGCCTCTCTCTGATCTGCTACCTTGACGGCTAGCCAGAGGAGAGTGGAGCAGCACTTTGGGAGAGAGAATAAAAGGGGAAGTTTCTGAGGGAGAGTGTTAGATTGGGCTGGATTTGAGAAGAGATATGGCTTGACTTAAGAGGAGAGATAGGGAGTAGGATAGGATTTGACTGAGGGAAAACTGGTTCTGAGTTAAGTTAAATAGCCACACTGAGGAGTCTATCCATAGTAAGAGGACAGAGCCTTGCTGCTTGGATAGGGAGAACGTGTTGAGGGTCTGGGAAAGATACTGTATATAGACAGGAGTGTTCTGAGAGGGTTGTGACTGAACCAGGAGAGGTAGAATCTGTGGGAATGCAGGCTACCTGGGTCTCAGTATAGCCAGGAGGGAAGAGTTATGTTAGGTGCAGAAGACTCCCAACCCCGTAAACAAGGGGTGAGGGGATCCCCTGGGTCTGTTATACTATTTGGAGTGTGCGATTGCTGAGAGAGTGGGCAATTGATTTTGAGTAAAGAGAGGTTAAAAGAAGCTGTGACCATAACACTGTGTTTAAGCCTAAGACATCTTATAGTTAGTTAAAATAAATAAGTTAACTTCAACCTGAAAGAACACCTTTCCCGACCCACTTTGTTTCATAAAGTTCTCATTGTTTTCTTGTTTGTTTAATCAACTCCTGCCTGAGACTCTAATCACTAAGTTTTCCCTCACACAACTCCCCCACATGATAGCTCATGTCAATTGTAAAACTTGGTGTAATTGGCACACATTGAAGTGTGGGCTCTATGTTTAATAAGGGGGCAGTTAGTGGGGTGAGTCCACCACATTATTAATTGGTGGCTAGCAGTGGGATCCACTACATATTAATTGGTGGCAGTGTCGTGATCCAAAATGAAAACCCATAAGGAAAATCATTTACCACAACATGTTCATATTTTGTGAGGGATTCCCTCCCCCCTAAAACTCCGGAAGTGAGTGGTGATAGTCAGGCAGAAGTGCAAACTGAGAGAAAAACTTCTATGGGGATTCTTAGTCATGAGATAGAAATGCTGAAGTTAAAAAATGTACTCGTGAAAATAAAGGTGGATACAGAAGAGGAAATTCAGTTAGTTAGAATTCAGGCAAAAGAAATGGAAAGAGAAAAAGAAGCTAGAATCAGGGTGAAAGAAAGCAAACAAGAAAAAGAAATGTTACTTCTCAAACTGAGGAAGATGCAGCTTGGGGCAGAGTTGCCCACACTACAGAGAAGTGAGGAATTTTCCTCAGTGGAACAGAGGGATAAAGACATAGAACACTTTTTTTGTTGGTTTGAAAGGATTTATTGCCCCAAAGTAGAGAAAATTGAAATCACGTCACTGACTAAAAATGCTAAGTTGGTTAAAGAAGAAAAATCTGTCAGAAATCATGTCCCAAACCCTGAATCAATTGAACACAGCCCTGTGCGCTGGCTCCTCAGAGAGAGAAAGGGCTGGGTTTAAGGGTTAAAGTTGAAGAATGACAATGGGAGAGTGTGGTAGATCACTGCCAGTTTTTGATACTGGATAGTCATGGTTTAGTCATGCTGGCCACATGATCCGGAAAACTGTCTGGGACCAAATGCCGGGTCCCTCAGCCTGAAAGCGAGATGAGCCTTTGACTGGACCTAACCGTCCAGGGGTCCTTTACCTTTACCTATACATATATAGTTAGTTCCTTTATTTATTTGGGGTTTCCTTTTCCCCTCAGGCTTCCCTAAATGTAATACATAAATTCAAAGATTTCTGTGCTTTTGTGTTTCCTGTAATAACATTTGTACTTGACCAAGAGAAAATTCTCAAGCAATGGGATAGCTCAGTTGGTAGAACATGAGACTCTTATAATCTCACAGTAGTGCATACCACTCAACTGTCCCAAACTGAGCAGGACTTCGCAGATGAACAGATGCCCCCTGCTTCTGTTTAAATGACCCGCTTCTGCTACCTCACCTCCTCCTTCTCGTGGGTGGGCGGGGCAGCTGCAGCCATGACCTCCTCACGAGAAGACCTATGGCCAAGGCCTAGCCATGGTGGAGGTGATGGCGGAGAGACAGCTGGTGAAGGTAAGGTGGCGGGTGGTGGTGGTGGCTGCGAAGGATTAGGGTGGGGCAGGGATGAGAAAGTGCAACTTAGGGCAATTTAGGGCAGCGGGGGGCTGGGAGAAAGAGCAAGGATATCAGGTGATGGGGTGCAAGGTGTATTTGTCCCGCTTTCCCACCAAGAAACGTTGGATGGTATAGAAAAAGAAGTGGAAAAGTGAGTGAGAAGGGAAAAAAAGAAAAAGAAAAAATACTGTAACATTACGATGTGTTAATATACAAATGTGTATATTTTCATTATTCTAATGCACATATAATTGTCAGTAGCCTAATATATTCTGTGTAAACTCAATCCAAATATCATTGAATTTATCCAAAGAAAATCTATAAGCTGTCCGTTCATATGTTACCAATGTTGTCATGTTGTCCAGCCATTGATTGAGGGGAATCTATCTCTGCTCTTCCAGAGTATCAGTCTCTTGGCCACCATTAGGGCACATAGAATCCTTTTTTTTTAATGATCTTTATTGGTTTTACAAGTTTTACAAGTTTCACAATCATAATACATATCTTATTTCTTTTAACCTTTATCTATCAAGCTTGTACTTCCCTTCCTCCTTCTTCTGGTTTCTCTGTTATCTTTACGCATTTGTTATATTTACATTTTATGTAAACTTAATACTATAGAATAAAACTGTCTAAGTTTTATTAATGTACAACCTTCATTGTTGTATTATATTGTTTCAGTTCTCAAAGTCCGACCAAATGGTTTTGAATAAACATTATGAGGTCTGTTTCAATCCTGTGAGTGTCTTTATTTGTGTACAGTTCTTCTCTATGTATGTTATAAATTTCATCCATACAATCCATTTTTGCTTTCTTGTTTTCAATTTCCATGAAAGTCTTAATTTTTTGAGTAGTGTCTTTGGGAGAAAGTGCTTGTGTCCAGCACTTTCTCCCAAAACTTAATAAGTGTAGGACAGAGTAAAAGCATGTGTTTCAAAGAAGCATTGTCAATCATACATCTCCAACCAAGAGATACATTAGATAGACTTTTCTTATACAAATGCAAGGGAGACCAATAGATTCTAAGAAGGATTTTCTGTTGTATAATTCTTAGATTAAGATCCATTGATATGATACTGAAGCCAAGAAATTTTCCCACTATCTAGGTAATAGTGAACATTCCAATTCTTTATTCCAATCATTTCTTAAACTCTTCATATCAAACTGAGTTTCAAATTAATTATCCAATTGCTCCAAATTTCAAGTGTCTCAGATGCTGTGAAGGTAGTCAGACCAAACGAAGTTACTAAAATATGTTGTAGCTGCAAGTATTGCCATTGGACCACCTCTGATAGATGGTATTTGATGTATGTATTGTACGTATAGAAGTCTTCCTCAGTTGGTCCAAGGTCACGACACCCATTGTCAGCTGCATCCCATTGCTGACAGAGGGGGAGAGCGTGGAGAGACAGTAGGAGGTAATTATGTAGGAATGCAGAAGGAGGGAGGAGCAGCCTAGTTACAGTAGAAGCCTAAGCTCCGAGAACAAGAAGAGGGGAGTTCAAGGGGGAAGACAGTTTAAGCTCGGACTCAGAGGGAGGGCCACCGGAAATATCCCATCCCATGATGCGTAGGTGCACAAGAATTAATGAGAGGTGTGAACAGGAAAGGAAGCGAAAGTGGGGCTTTAAATGTGGGAATAGGAAGGGGCGGAACTCAGACTCAGCAACAGCTGATTTGGAAGCAGACACTGAGTGACTGAGCTCCAGAGTGATTTGTGTGGTTTGAGCAATAAACCTGAGTTAATTACTGCCAGAGTTGTCTCGCTTCTATGGGAGAGACCAACCATTACACCCATTATCACATAGTTTTTCCATATTACCATTCCTCTCCGCACATTATTGAAGTAGGATTTAGCATGTGAAAATGAATTTATTTTTATTAGCTAATATATTCCATATCTTTCTAATTGGCTTGTTTCAAGAGTTGTAGGGACTTCAAATGTTTTGATCCTAATACTATCCACCCAAATAAAATTGTTATATACTGTGTGTGTGTTCTAAGGTTGCCCAACTGAGGAGATTATGACCATCGGCAGGTCTCCAATATTTGATACTTGTCAATAAATAAGAACGAATGTATAATTCCAGTCTTGGAATTCCAGATTTACGTTATTGAAAGCCACTCAGATTTCTTTGAAATATGGACTGGAATATACATTTCCTAAATCAATAAGATAACTCATAATTACCCATTGTTTTTCAATCTAAAAACAGTGCCCTTCATCACCACTGCCACCAAATATTCTTAATTTGATAAATGCAGACACACAGCACAGTTTTGATTTGCTTCACCAATTTATTTTGATTATGATCAAAGGAATTTTTTACACATATCCCATGTTTTCATGAGCCAAAGCCCCACATTTCTACTTTAGTTTTCTATTCTCTGCATCCCATTCACC